TAAAGAATCACTTATGCAATTCCTTGGGGCAGTCAATTATATAGGTAAATACATTCCTAACAAATCAAAAATATTAGAGCCACTTAACTCCCTATTGAAAGATAACATACATTTTGTTTGGCTAGAACCACAAAAGCGAGCTTTTAAGGAAGTGAAACAATATATTCAAAGAGCCCCCACTCTAGCTCACTATGATTACTCGAAAAATATTGTAGTTCAGGCAGATGCCTCCAGCTTTGGTTTAGGCGCTGCTCTAATGCAAGAAGACCAAAACAAGGTCCGCGAGACAGTAGCATACGCCTCGAGAACACTAACCGCGTGCGAGAAGAAATATAGTCAAATCGAAAAGGAAGCCTTGGCGCTGGCCTTTGCAGCCGAACGTTTTAAGAATACGTACAAGGCATAGATTTCACGTTGGAAACGGATCACAAACCACTCCTACAGATACTACAAACAAAGCCCCTTGACGAATTAACTCCCCGGTTACAAAGAATTCGCATGCGCTTGATGCGATATAGTTTTAAAGTAGTTTACGTTCCAGGCAAACAGCTAGTTCTAGCCGACTCTCTATCACGTAATCCCCTGGAACGAGATCGCGACGAGGGAAGTGAGCTCTCAAACGAAATCGAGAGTTACGTGCAATTCATAGTAGGGAACATACCCGCATCTAAAAATCTTATGGATAAGATAAGCGAAGAGCAGCAATGCGACTATATATGCTCCAAACTAAAGGACTATTGCTTATCAAAATGGCCTTCTAAGTCCCAACTACCAGAAGGCCTATTACCATATTTTCAACTCAAAGACTACATTTCATACGGCGATGGATTCCTATTGTATAACACGAGATTGATTATACCACCCACCTTACAACTAGAAATCATCTCTAGGATACATGAAGGCCATCTTGGTATCAATAAATGCAGAGACAGAGCAAAACAGTCGGTATGGTGGTTAGGATTAAGCTCGCAATTAAGGCACCTAGTCGAAAACTGTCCGAACTGTATTCAAGAACGGAAAAACATTAGCCAACCATTCGTGAAAGAAAACTTTCCCGACCGACCGTGGCAAAAAATCGCTCTAGACCTCTTCAAGGTAAATAAATGGTACCTTATCGCAACCGACTATTATTCCAGATTCTTCGAAATATGTTCTCTAAAGACCATGTCCGAACACGAAATAATAGATAAGTGTAAGAACTTATTCGCCCGATTCGGCGTCCCAGAAATTGTAAGAAGCGATTGCGGAACACAATTTTCGTCAGCTTTCAAGCGGTTCGCGAACGGCTACGACTTTAAACACATAACAAGCTCTCCGAAATTTTCTCAGAGTAACGGAGCCGCCGAAGCGGCCGTCAAGATCGCTAAGAACATTATAAAAAAATGTGACGACGTAAATCTAGGCCTCCTATCTTATAGAACGACACCACTAGAAAACGGTTATTCGCCAGCAGAACTTATGTTCTCGCGAAAAATCCGCTCTCGCGTTCCCGTCTTACCGAAAAATCTCGGCACCTTCG